CCTCTCCACAGCTTGCACGGGGGTAAGTGCCAGACTGCTGGGGAGTCGTCCTGTTCCCTGCCCCCCACATGAGCATGGATGGGGCCTGTGCCAACTGCCCGCTCGAGCCGTGGGGAGCAGCTCCATCCCCGCCTGGGCCCGTAACGATGCGGTTCTGGCAGGACCCAACTGAGAGTGCCAATTCAGGACAAATCACTTAAAACAGGGCAGTTACAGCCCAAGGCTGGGGGTTTTCCACCTCTAAGGCAAACCAAACCAGCCAGACAAAGAGGACTTTGGTCTCACCCCACTGGCTAACCACAAGTCACACAAGCAATTCCCTTAGACACTCCAGTTTCCCAGTATCACCACCAGTGCCCCTCGTCATGGGGACAAATGGTTCTGAAAACCAATACCCCAGTAAAAGAGAAAAGTTCTCCTGATCCCATAGGACCAAGCCCTAGACCAGGTCAATATACAAATCAGATTTTACCCACAAGTCACGCTGTTGCCAATCCTTTAGAATCTAAAGGTTTATTTATAAAAGGAAAAAGATACAGATGAGAGCTAGAATTGATTAAATGGAATCAATTACATACAGTAATGGCAAAGTTCTTGGTTCAGGCTTGTAGCAGTGATAGAATAAACTGCAGGTTCAAAATCTAGTCTCTGGAATACGTCCCCATCTGGGATGGGTCATCAGTCCTTTGTTCAGAGCTTCAGTTTGTAGCAAAGTCCCTCCAGAGGTAAGAAGCAGGATTGAAGACAAGATGGAAATGAGGCATCAGCCTTTTATAGTCTTTTCCAGGTGTAAGAACACCTCTTTGTCCTTACTGTGGAAAATTACAGCAAAATGGAGCCTGGAGTCACATGGGCCAGTCCCTGCATACTTTGCTGAGTTACAGGGCGTATTTGCCTTCTCTCAATGGGTCAATTGTAGCTGATGGTCCTTAATGGGCCATCAAGCAGGCTAGGCAGAGCTAACACCAGTTTGTCTGGGATGTCACCCAGCAGCATAGCATAAGTTTGAAATACAGACAGTATAGAGCCAATATTCATAACTTCAACTACGAAATTGATGCACACATATAGACAGCATAATCATAACCAGCAAACCATAACCTTGTCTTAGACACCTCATTTGACCCCCTTTATACGAGATTTGGTGCCACTACAGGACCTTGGTTGCAACCATGTTCTATACGGTCCCAGTTCAAGTCAACAACATGACAGCCCGCCAAGCATGGATTCTGGCAGCTGGCACCCTCTAGCTACGTCTGTTGTTAGCTGCACCACCCCTCTGGGTTGGGAGCACTGAGACTCCCACGCAGGGGGGTGGCCGTTCCTCCTGCGGGCTGGGAGCCTGGTGGGCGTTAGCCATGGGGAACCTGGCCTGGCTTGGTGGGAGCCGTGCAGTGGGCTCTGGCTGACACTCTCTCTCCTCGCAGACCTGGATAAGTTTGCGGCCGAGGACATCATGGACCCCATCGCCAAGGCGAAGATGGTGGCACTGAAGGGCATCAAGAAGGTGATGGCTCAGGGAAGCATTGGGGTGGCCCCTGGAATGAACAGGTAAGGGGGGAGCACGCGTGGGAGGGGGGCGGGCAGGCAGCTGAGGGCAGGGCAGGAGTGGTTCCTGGCTCATTCTCTCTCGGTTTGGTTCCAAAGGCAACAGGTGTCCCTGCTGGCTCAGCGGCTCTCGGGGGCCACGGCCGCGGCCGAAATGCAGAACCACGTCCCAGCTGGGAGCGGACAGGTGAGCATGTGGCTGTCTGCCCTGGGGAGCCCCCACGCTGCCTTGCCCAGCAAATACCCAGCGCCAAGGCGTCTCCTCCGCCGGGCCAGGGCTCGTGGGTGCGATGAGTCACGGACGTCTGCACTGGGAATCGCCCTCGCAGCTGGACGGCCATGGAGGCTGCAAGGGGGAGGTGTCCGTGTGAGGGGCAGCGTGTGGGGCTGGGGCAGGGGACAGCGCGTGGCACCGGGGGAGGGGGGAATAACCTGTGTGGGTGGGGGAGGCGCACATCATCATAAACACTCTCCGTCTCTCCTAGGAGCGAAGTGGCAGCGACCCATCTCAGACCCGCCCCAACCCACCCACCTTCGCTCAGGGCGTCATCAGTAAGTAGCTCGTGTGGGGGGTCCAGCGTGGGGGCCCCCTGCCAGGATGGGGTTCGCTTGGAGGGTTGTATGGGGTGCTGCTGTGGGGCTTGGCTGTGAGTGGAGATTCTGGTTTTTCTCTGAGCCCCAGTGACCCGGTGGGGGGCACGGGGGACCATCTTGGCTGGGGGGGGGCAGTGTTTGGGGGGGGCATCTCCCCGTCTCTGTCCCACCCCGGTGCCCCTCTCCGCAGACGAGGCCGACCAGCGGCAGTACGAGGAGTGGCTCTTCCACACCCAGCAGCTCCTGCAGATGCAGCTGAAGGTGCTGGAGGAGCAGATCGGCGTGCACCGCAAGTCCCGCAAGGCCCTGTGCGCCAAGCAGCGCACGGCCAAGAAGGCCGGTCGCGAGTTCCCCGAGGCCGACGCCGAGAAGCTCAAGCTGGTGACGGAGCAGCAGAGCAAGATCCAGAAGCAGCTGGACCAGGTGGGGGATGGGGGCTGGGGGGGTGCTGGGGGGGGGCAGCCGGAGGAGACGAGGGCAGTGGGGGGGGCGGACAGCCTTCGCCTGCGGGTGGCGCAAGTCTGGGTAGAGGCGTGTGATGGGGCGGGGGGGGGGGACTGGG